GAGTTCCTGTCACAACTGTTCTCCAGAAATGCGCCTCTGTTGTAAAACCCTCTTTGGTACACCGACAAACTCTTGAACGTGCTGCCCACTGCATTTTCTCTCTCTTTTTCTTTCTTTTTTTTAAAAACGCAATAGCCTTTGGTATTGCAGCACTGAATATGTGGTTTCTAGGTTAGCAATTATTTCAGCTGAGTTCCCTCTGACAAGGAACATAGCATTTTTGACAACCTAGGAGATGACATTTCATTTCAAAGAGTCAGGGAAAATATTTTGAAAGAAAGGCAGCATTTAAAAGACAGTGTGGGACCATGTTGATGAAGCAGGCAGTGTCTATGAAAGCTTATACCAAAGATATTTGGTAGCCTCTAGATTTAGTTTTTATTATTTTTAAAAATAAAAGAAATGTAAGCATGAACCATTCATTCATTCATTCATTTGCTATATCCCCCCATCCTATAGCATACATAGCTCTCATCTTCACTTTTTCCTCATAACACCTCTGTAAAGTGGAGTCAAGATAAGAGAGTGTGACCAGCCCAGGGTCACCCAGTGAGTTTCATAACTTGATGAGGACTTGAATCAGGATCTTCCCACACCTAGTTCAACACTAACCACTACAAAACACCAGCTGTCACACATAGTGAGTTGAATTCAACTTTAGACTTGATTAGAGTAGACTCATGGGAATCAGTGGGACTTACTTTAGAAGATATTTGATCCACTGATTTCAGTAAGTTAGTTTAGACATGACCAAATCTGATCTAATCCCCTGTGTTGTCCTGTTAATGAAAACCTATATTATGATCTTATCTGGATGAGGCAAAACTTCTGCCCCATTGTTGGTAGCGGTTTGACCCAGCCTGGAGGAAGAGTCTCCCTAGCTCTCCTGGCCAGTGTTCCCCAGGTGGGTCTGGGGAAGCGGCCTGGCCGGAGGGCAAGAGCCGCCCCCAGGTCCTCAGGCCCTCCTGGCTGGCTCAGGCGGCCCCGGAGAGACCCTTGCCCGGGGAGCGGAGAGAAGGGAGGGGCCCTCAGTGCCAGGAGAGGCTGGGAGAGAGACAGAGGGGGGGGCTCGGAGGAGACCCCAGGGGCCCAACCCTCCCCCAGACCCTGGCCCTACAAGGGTACCCCTCAGTCTCCTCACACTCCCCCCCCTTTTTTTTTGCTTTCCTGCACAAAGAGTCTTGTGTTTAGGAAAGACTTGTAAGTCTTGTTTGGATAAGACTTGTTAGATTGTAGCCCAAAAAATAAAGGTTATTTATTTTTGTTGCTACAGTAAATTAAAACACCCAAACACAGAAAACGGAGGGTGGAGCTTCCCCCCCCCCCCCCCCC